GAAATGGAGGCAAAAGATGCCACTTCCTCAGGCGGTACTGGTGTGGCACAGACACGCCCCGGCCAGGGAGCAGGACTTGGTTCGGGCCCGTCTCCGGGTCTCCCTGCCCCACCACCCCCAACCTGCCAGGCTCTGGTGAGTGGCCGCCCCGTGTGCTCTGGTGCCTTCCGCTCGTGTCCCCCCGCCCCGCCCCCGGCATGGCAAAGCGTTTGCTCACTGCCAGCGCACCTGCCGTCGGACACTCTGCTGTGGTTTGGGTGTCTCCCGCCCCCTCCTCGGGACGCTGTGAGCGGACCTGTGATGGTTTTCTCTGTTGCTGCCGTTTCAGAGGCCCAGAGGTCATGAGCACCGTCTCAGGTACGCGGAGCACGACGGTCACCTTCACGGTTCGCCCTGGGACCTCCCAGCCCATCACCCTGCAGAGCCGGCCCCCAGACTATGAGAGCAGGACCTCAGGACCAAGACGTGCCCCCAGCCCCGTGGTCTCGCCCACAGAGCTGAACAAAGAGATCCTGCCTGCGCCCCTGTCCGCTGCCGCCGCGGCTCCCTCTCCCACCCTCTCGGATGTCTTCGGCCTCCCAAGCCAGCCCCCTCCCGGGGACCTGTTTGGCTTGAACCCAGCGGGACGCAGCAGGTCGCCATCCCCCTCCATACTGCAACAGCCAATCTCCAATAAGCCTTTTACAACTAAACCTGTCCACCTGTGGACTAAACCAGACGTGGCGGACTGGCTGGAAAGCCTCAACCTGGGTGAGCATAAAGAGGCCTTCATGGACAACGAGATCGACGGCAGCCACCTGCCAAACCTCCAGAAGGAAGACCTCATAGATCTGGGCGTGACGCGAGTCGGGCACAGAATGAACATAGAAAGGGCTTTGAAGCAGCTGCTGGACAGATAAGGGCGGCTGCTCTTCACCTTTCAGACTCCTTGTTATAAACAGAGATGGGCTTGCACTGAAGTGTTTGGATGGTGAGCACCAACCCCGTTCCGCGGGCTGGTCTCCTGCTACCCAGAGAAATGCTGTGTCCCTGGCGTGGCTGAGCAGAGGCCTTCAACCCCCCCGGCTCTCTGTGTGGGCTCCTTGGGCTGTTTCTGTCAAAGAGGGGACCAGGGGAGGGAGGGCTTCTAAGGTGGAAAGATGCGCGGCTTGCCTCCTGCACGCAGGTGACCTGACCTCACGAGGCCCAGGAGATGCCCACCGCCGCACGCGCCCCTTGCTCCTGCAGGCAGACACCACTGCACTCTAGACACATACCTCCCGCGGCCTCCTCTGCCGTCCGGCAGCTCCACGCGGGCCCGGGCGCAAGGCCTTCCTCAGCCTGCGGCCCCTCAAGGGCACCCAAGCCCACGTGCTCCTTTCTTTCCCGGACTTGGCTCGCAGCGAGACACCCGCGGATGTGTGTAGCCGGTGACCCTTTGGAAGGGAGAGAAACTTTCCTCCCGTGGATCCTTTACCCTGTCTCCTCCGACGTGCACCCGTGGTTCTCTGGCCATGAGGTTCTTGGCAGTGGTGGGTTGTCCGAATGGGATCGTGCCCAGCTTTGCTTAGCTTGCTTTCTTTCTTTCTGCAAATCTGTTAGCATAATTCCAAAGTGGCCAAACAGATGTCACATGGAGTTAGTCAAAGCACAAAGTCACGATTCCAAGGAGGAGGGAGACCTGGCCGTGGGAAGCAGCCGGCGTGCAGCTGCTGTGCCCAGGGTGTCCGCAGGAGGGGAGCAGCTCCCCAGGAGCGGGGGAAGGGGCTTCTCTGCCTTCCGGCATTTTTTAAAATCGAAAGCGTGTTGAATTCTACGAAGATCAGAGCAGGCGAGCAACCACTCAGACACGCAGGATGACACAGGGCTCACGGTGGGCGTGCGCCGCGGCCACCCCCAGTTCTGAGCCCGGCCAAGGGGAAGCATCGTGGCTGAGACAGCCCCTTGGTCCCCCCGAGGCCAAGGAAGAGGGGACTTAGGGGCTTCTCCCCTTTTCCTCTGAGCGTCCAGGAATCCCACCAGCTTGTCTTAACAGTACAGCAGGTTTTTTGAAAACCCAGCGGGTATGGCGCATAGACAGAACCCAGGGTGAGGGTGCAATGCAGATAAAGGAAGGAAGGAAGGAAGGGCAGAGCAGAGAGGTCTTGTGGGCTGCCAGTCTGGCCTCGGGCAAGGCTTTCTTGGGCCCTGCCGCATTCTTTCCCCTGGAGCCCCTCCCCTGTAACAGTACCTCCAATTTCCAAGGGAGGCCGCCACCGGCACACGAGCCACAGGACACCCAGTCAGGGGTCAGCGTGCTCTGCCACGTATGGAAGAAACTCGAATGTCAGGTTTTTGGCTTTTATTATGATTTCAGAACTAGCCTAGCCCATCTCTAATTATAAACACATGATTTTTTTTCCCTTTTTTTCTTTATGCTCACAATCAAGTGTCTGATTAGGTCTGGAACAGCTCTAGAATGAATACGTAAAATTTAGCGATTTAAAATCTCTTTCTTTACTGCAAGTTTAAATAGTTGTACAGATAGTTTATAAGCACAATATTTTAAGAAAAAAAAGTGGCTGGTCTACTAGGCAGCCTTTGTGCCACTTCAGTGCTAGAAAGTTAAAGAAAAAAAAACTTTTGTGATTTAATAATACTATTTCTGTGGAATAATTATAAAAGTATGACCTTTTTAAATCAACCTTATTTGGATGCATCTGAACCAGCAGAGCTGTGTTATATTTTCTATCTTTGCTAGACCTTCGTCATCGAAGGACAATTATTTCTTCAAAAGTGGTTGTAATTCACAATGCAGCAGTTTCTCCAAAAACAAACACACTCACCACACACCCCGTCTTTCCAGCCACACGCCCCTGAATTAGAAACTGAGTTTTGGACCTTCTGTTCCAAAACCTCCTGCAGGTCCATCTTTGTATCTGAATGATCCATTCCAACTTGAAATCAATTGAATATTAAGGCGCTTTACTTCCGTGTACTTTCAATTTTTCCATCATGAGATGAACGAATCTTACCCTAGAGAAATTTCAAGCCAAGGTACTACAGGTGGCCTGCTGATGCTGCCCGATAGTTCAGAAAATGTAAAATGGTGGTTTGGCCATTATCTGTCTTCCATTTGGTGATACTGCAAAATCCACTAAGTACACCACCTCACCGTGGCTCTTCTCTCCTTTGCCTACTGTTGGTATTACCTCTCTGCTCGGTGCCAGGCAAAATGCGAGACAGACAGGACGAGAGTAAAAGAGGCCGCGGGTAGACGGTAACCAACGGCAACTTGAGGGCGTTGGGGTTACTGAACTTTGGTAACCAGGAGGTGAGAGCTGGCTGCTACTCCCCTCCGTAAAGAGACTTCAAGTCACGTGCAACTGACCGGAAGCAAGCAGACTGAGAGACAAAAGAGCTGATGACATTGGTTGTTTCACACTGTCTTACTGTAGAAAAGTAACAGGACCCATCAGAACCTGCCCTGACCGACAAAATAAACACATTGCCAAGATGAATCAGTCTCTAGCTCTAATCGCCAGGTTTGCTATAGAAAGCAATAGTTTTTCATTTAAACCACCGCCCACTGTTCTCCCCCTTGGGACATGTCAGGACCAGGCCCTACCCTATGCCCCTCTTTCATGGTGAAACAGATGTTAAACTGCTCATATAAAGATCATGTTAATACTATTCCAGGTTTTAAAAAGATCCACTTTTGTTATATACTGTAATTTAAATAAATTGCATTTACATGCCTAGTTTCTGTAATATTGTGTATACAAAACCAAAATTGCTAAAGATGTAAATTACGTATACCTGCCAAGATACCTTCTCCAGGGTGTCTGTGCACATTTTAAGTAAATCCATATAATATAAAAATGACTCAATGTGACTGTTGATTTGCTGAACTTTACATATCACAAAGTGAATTATTTGTGGTACTTTAGTTAATAAAACGGTGATTTTTTTTTTTTTTTTTTTTTTTTGGTTTTAGAAACTTTAAAACATTTCAGTGGAGGATCAACGAGCAAGTTAACTAGTTTTTTTTTTTTTTTTTTTTTCTGAGTTACTGAACAAGCAAGCATTACCCAGGGTGATCTGGCAACGACTTTTTGCGTGTGGGCCACAAATATTGATTTTTTTCCCCATTAACAATTTTTTTGTTTGTTTTTTTTTTTTAGAAACTAATACTTTTCACACTATAGTTTGTGTAACATGTGTTGGCATTATCTATGTTTCTGTTACTTTTGTGCTTTTATTCTTTTTAGACCTTATTAAAAACAAAAAGGAAAAACAAGCTCCTGTAATTTGCACTTTCTCCCAATCCTTAAATCTCTTGTATGGCAACCAAAATTACTGTTAAAAAAAATAATAAATATACTATTGCACTAAGGTTGTGGTTCTGATTGCAAAACAGTGAAAACTTTCTGAATCAAACAAAAAGTTGCCAAGCTTACAATCCAGCCACTTGACCTCTGTGAAGCTGACCAGACGGTAGCTTTCCTCAAAGAGTGAAGATTCTCCCTTCGGTGAGCTAATCTGCCTTGGTTCCACTTCCTTAAAGCTTTCTCAGAGTATGGGTGGAAACGAGTATCCTTTCAGAACTGGGAGAGTGTCACGGCGGGCGGACGTCTGCGAACGCTGGCGCTCCTGTTCGTTTGGGACAGAAGCAGAGGGTCCCAGAGGGCGAGCCCGATACAAGCCTCCCCCCAGGGGCACAGGCGGCGGCGGTCTTCCTGCCGTGGGGTCTGCACAACCAGCCAGGCAGCCCCACCGGCTGACACAGAGCCACAGCGTTTCGGTGAACGAGGCAAGAGAATGCGTCTTCTGGCCAAGAACTGAGCCCGGAAGACACGGGCGATCCCTTCTGCTGGAGGGAAGCGTATTTTCAACTTCAGTACTGAACCTCTTCCGCCTCACGGCAGTGAAAAGTCACTGTCTTTAGTTCCTGAACAGTTCCTTCTGTCCTGGCACATTCTCCGCCTGAATGGCAGCCACTCTGTTTCTATGTTCCTGAAAACGTCTCAGCCTCGTACCTTTTGTAGTTTACCCTCCCTGAAGTCCCCCTGCTCCACCATCCAATGGTTCTTCCCAGACTCTAGCCACCACCCCCATCTTCACTGTCCAGTGGTTTCTTCCAGACCACTTCTCCCTAATGAATGTATCTGTTTGTCTTGTTAAGAAAAAACTAGACATTGGAAGACTCTTCCTTTCATTTGTACTTTATTTGATGCATTTTAATAACCAGTGAACTGGAATGTCTTCTGTATTTGTAGATATCCACGTACACACGCAAGTAGGTGACGGTTCCACAGTGGCTGGGTGACCACAGCGGCTGCATGCACACGGGCCTGCCCGTGCTTTGCGGGGAAGCGGGTCGCTTCCAGGCTTGTTTCTCAGACTTCAGCAGATCTGATCACTTCAATTTATAATCCACGCTGTACCAGTGGTTTGTTTCTTTATCGTTCCTGTAACGTGTCTCTACGTTTCACAGTCTTTCCCGTGTTATGTTTAAAATCACAACAGTCACTGTCCATTGCCTCTACTCTGGAACTCTTCGTTTATAGCAATTCTGAAACTTTAATATGAGCCTTCAAATAAATACAGAAACAAAAAAAAAAAAGGAAAAAAAGTAAAGTGTGTGCCTTGGGTGTTTTGAACCTGATCTGCATAAAACCATATTGTACTCAAATGCTGTATATTTAATGAAAGGGTAAATATACCTTCACTGTATTAATGTAGCTGATAAAATAGTTACAGTGCCTTGGTTTCTGAACTGAGAAGCCCATATCAATGCACAACGAAAAGTAAAGAACAATTCGAGAAATGAAATGTTGAGAAGACCTAGACATGATTCTGGAGCCTTCCTCATCATAAGACTGTGGGATATACACAGTCATTTAAGTTAAAAAATAAAAAGAAAATTGAAATAAGATTG